AACCAGTGCCAGGGAGTGGGGGGGGAAGAGGTAACCCTGGGCAAGAACACGTGCTTCTCAGGCTGGCCATGGGGTACCGTGGGCTCAGGGCAGGGGAGTGGCGAGAACAGCCAGGGCTGCACTACCTGGATGAACCGCTTGAGCTGTGTGTTCTGCTGCAGTAAACGTGTCTTCTCCTGCTCCAGGGAGAAGATGTATTCAGCTGTTTGCTGGAGAATCGCCGCCTGGGGAGAGCGGGCGAAGAGGGTTAGTGGCACAGGAGAGGCAGCGTGTCAAGCCCTGTGGCCCCATGTGCCCCCCACCCCAGACAGCGGAGCCCCTCGCGCCAAGGGGCGACCAGGGGTAGGAGAAGCAGCTACTGCTCCAGATCAACTCCCACCTCCCATTGCTTTGCACCCTCCAAACAATGAGGTGCGCCTTGCCCTCGGTGCAGCCAGGGTACCCAGCTGCAGTCCGGCTTACTCCTGCTCCTAGTACGTCGCCAATGGGCCACGCCAGAGCCAGCCTCCTGGGCCACGCACAGCCCGCTGGCTGCCTCTCGCAAGCCCCAAGAGGTAGGATTAGCATCCAAGGTGCTTCCTGGCCTGCCAGGCGAGTTGCTGGTCTCAGCCCAATTCCCAGCAGATGAGTTTCTGTGCTACAAACCCACTGGCGCTGGGGCTCCAGCCGGCCCCTGGAGCTCAGGCTGAGGAGCACCATGAAACTCCTCTGGGGAGGGCAGCTAAGCACAAAGGTAGGGCACCATGGGAGACGCCCACCTTGCTGCTGCCCCAATGAGCCGAGTACTTCACATGCCCACAGCCCCAATCCCCCTCCCCGCCCCAGCACCACCTTTCCTTTCTGCTGGCATCGCCAGAGCCACCCAGCAGGTGGAAAGCTAACAGGTGGCACAATGCTCACCCTGCGGGGAGACGTGGGGCGCACTGCAGAGCTCCATGCGAGCCAGGGGAGTCATTTCACTGTGAGGAGTTACAGTCACCCTCTGAAAGGCCCCAGCCCCGGCGTCCATTACCGTGTAGACACCTGCGATGTCACAAGACATTTCAGGTGCAAAAGGAAAGGAGCGAGCGGTGGCTCTAACGAGACGCTCACAGCAGCAGAGACCAAAGTCACTAGCACTGTCTGGCACAACTTTATATGCTCCTGGGGAGCCAAGGGGGAATGGGGGCGAACAGGGAGCCCACACACCGGCAGGGATTAGCAGCAGCGAGATCTGTGCGCTGCTCAACCCCGCTGGGCTCCTTAGTCCTGTGTCAGTAGAACTCCGTGCCTCACTGGCTCCAGGTCTAGGTCGGGATGCACGTCCGTGCCAGCCAGTTTGCTCATGAGCAAAAGAACCCTGCCCTGCACAGCCCAGGCACAGAGACTCTGCCCCGGGCCCCCGGCAGCGCTGCTACGTCTGGCAGGGGAAGGGAAACGGCGCGCCGG